CTACAAATAATATAAAATATCTTGGGGTTGGGATGGAGAGGTGGCTCAGAGGTCAAGAGCACTGGCTGCTCTTCCAGAGGTCCTGAGTTCAATTCCCAGCAACCACATGATGACTCACAACCATCCGTAATGAGACCTGGTGCCGTCTTCTGGCCTGCAGGGACATATGTAGACAGAACACTGTATTAATAATAAATAAATCTTTAAAAAATATCTTGGGGTAACTCTAACAAAGCAACTGAATGACCTGTATGACAAGATCTTCAAGTCTTGGAAGAAAAAAATTGGAGAAGATAGCAGAAGATGGAAAGATCTCCCATGCTCATGTATCAGTAGGATTAACAGTAAAATGGCCATCTTACCAAAAGCAATCCACAGATTCAGTACAATTCCCATCAAAATTCCAACACAACTCTTTACTGATATTGAAAGGAAAATTCTCAACTTCATATAGGAGAACAAAAAACTCAGGATAGCTAAAGTAATCCTGAACAATAAAAGGACTGCTGGAGGTCTCAATCTTCCCAATTTCAAGTTATACTACAGAACTATAGTAATAAAAACTACATGATTGTGACATACAAAACAAACACATTGATCAATGGAATTGAATTGAAGACCCAGACATAAATCCATATGCATATGGACACCTGATTTCTGATTTTAAAAAATAGCCAGAAATTCACATTGAAAAAAAGAAGACATCTTCAACAAATAGTGCTGGTCAAACTGCATCACTACACGTAGAAGAATGTAAATAGATCCATATTATCACCCTGCACAAAACTTAAGTCCAAGTAGATCAAAGACCTCAACATAAAACCAAATACACTGAACCTGATAGAAGAGAAAGTGGGAAGTAGCCTTGAATGCATTGGCACAGGAGATAACTTGCTAAACAGAACATCAATAGTTCAGGCACTAAGATCAACAATTAATAAATGGGACCTCACAAAACTGAAATGCTTCTGTAAGGCAAAGGACATTGTCAATCAGACAAAGCTGGAGCCTACAGAATGGGACAAGATCTTCACGAACCCCACATCTGACAGAGGGCTAATATCAAAATGGCTAATACCAGAATGGCTAAGATCAAAAACACAAGTGACAGCTCATATTGGTGAAGATGTGGAGCAAGGGGAATACTGGCGGGAGTGCCAACTTGTACAGCCACTTTAGAAATCCATATGGAAGTTCCTCAGAAAACTGGGAGTCAGTCTGTCTCAAGATCCAGCTATACTATTCTTGGGCATATACCTAAAGTACTTTCCACCCTACCACAAAGACACTTGCTCAACTAGGTTCATAGCAGCTTTATCATAATAGCTAGAAACTGGAAACAACATAGATGTCCCTCAACAGAAGAATAGATAAACAAATTGTGGTACATTTACACAATGGAGTATCACTCAGCTATTTAAAAAATGACATCATGAAATTTGAAGGCAAATGGATGAAACCAGAAAAAATCATCCTGAGTGAGGTAATCCAGACACAGAAAAATAAATATGATACTTATTCACTTACAAGGGGATATTGGCCATTAAGTAAATGATAACCAAGCTATAAACCATAGATCCAGAGACATTAGGTAAAGAGGAGGATGTAAGGGAGACTCGGAGATCTCCCTGGAAGGGGAAAATAGATTTTCTAGTGGACTGGGGATGGGTCAGGACAGGAATCAGGTGGTGGCAAGATGGGGTGGAGGGAGAGAGTACAGGGAGAGATGGCTGGGATTGTGTGGACATTTAGGGGTGATGTTGAAACCTAGTGCAGTGGAAACTCCCTGGAATCTATGGGGGTGATCCTAATGAGGACTCCTAGTATGGAGGACTCCTAGAATATGGAATCACAACTGGTCATCTCTTGTAGCCAGGCAAGGCTTCCTGTGGCAGGACCAGGTCAAATTTAATTTATTTGTTGACCAAGGGGGTCCCATGAAAATCCCAAAACAACCCAGGCCGTTGCTAAGACAGAAGGTTGTTCTCTGAAAACTGACAACAGGGACCCACTGCTGAGGATAACACACACACAACTTATTAAACATGGAGAAGTTGAGCTGGTGCCTACATGGAGCTCTTGTCCCTACATTCTAGTCTCTTTGGTGCAGGAAATTACTCTGCAGCTACCAAAGGAGAAATGTGAATGCAAACTCAGCCACAAAACCTTTGACCTACAATCTGTCCTTCCTGCATAATACACTAGGGCAATGGTGGCACAGAACTTGTGGAAGTAGCCAATTAATGTCTGATTTGACCCTAAGGCCCACTCTATGAGAAGGAAAACATGTCTGACACTGCTTGTGTGACCAAGAACCAGAGACTAGATATAGCCCAGAGACTTATGGTAAAACCAAATGCTACTGGTCTAGAAAAAATCAATAAAATAGTTCCTAATGACATTCTGCTATATAAATATATATCCAGTCATCATCAGAGAGGCTTCCTCCAGCAGAGGATGGGAATGGATGAAGAGGCCCATGGCCAGACATTACATGGAGGGAGAGAGTCTAAATGGGAGGTCTCCAGTCAAATCCCAGAGAATCCCATGGAGATAGGGCAGAAAGAATATGAGAGCCAGATGGGATAGAGGACACCAGGAGAACATGGCCCTCTGAATCAACTAAGCAAGGTTCATATGAGCTCACAGAGACTGAAGTAGCAAGAACAGGGCCTGCATGGGTCTACACCAGTTCCTATGTGTATATATTATAGCTATTAGCTTCGTATTTTTATGGGACTTCTGACTATAAGAACAAGTGGATGTCTGGCTCTTGGGACTCTTTTCCCCATGTTGGGTTGCCATAATAACTTAGATATCTTAGCTTTTGCTTCATCTTACATTTTATTTTGTCATATTTGGTAGTTTTCTCTTAGAAGCCTGTTATTTTCTAATGATAGACAGAAAGGGAGTGGATCTGGAGAGGAGGAGAGGGGAGGAGGAACTGGGAGGAGTAGAGGGAGGGGAAACTATAATCGGGATATACTGTATAAAAAAATCTATGTTTGATAAAAGAAAAATATTTTTTAAATGTGTGACTTATTTCATCATAAAATCTACATCCTTTATAGTGTGTGTTTATCGAAATTGTTTCATCTACTTTTGATTTGATGCTCTTTGTTCCATTTTCTTTGTTATTATTTTTCTCCTTTTTGAAAGTGATCCTTCTGACTGCAAAAAATTCTTCCCATCTTTGCCTCAGGGCCCATTCAGTACAAAATCACCTTAGCCCAGAATGGGTCCAGGACCCCAACCTAGATCAGTGCACTCTCTCCCTCCCCCCCCTCTCTCTCTCTCTCATGAATCTACACATTACCATAAACAACTTTTGTTGTTATTGGGACAGGGTCTCAAGAGGTCCAATCTAGCCTTGAACTCCTGATCCTCCTGTCTCCGCCTGGAAAGTGTTGAGATTGCAAGTGTGAGTTACTGTGTTCAGCACTTTGGATTTCTTGTTTGTTCATTCCTTCATTTGAGACAGGTTCTTGCTATGCATCTCAGGCTGACCTCACTCTAAAACTGGAAAGGGCTGAACTACAGGTGGGTTCCACCATACCGAGCTCTCCCTTGGGATACATTTAAAGGAATCCACAATAGCCTATAGTTTCTTTTATACATATTCTAATATGGACTTCACCCTTTTAAAGATTTCTTTAATTTTTTAAAATTATGTGTACATATGTGTGCCTGTGCACATGTGTGTAGGTGCCTGTGGACACCAGAAGAGGGCATCAGAACCTTTGGTGCTGGAGTTTCAGGCATATATAAGCCAATTTGGGTGGCAGGGACAGAACTTTAGTCCTCTAGAAGGGAAATACTCGCTCTTCAGCACTGAGCCATTTCTTCAGCCTCTGGACTCCACCTTTTGCATTTGTGGGTCCGCTATGACTGGGTGATAATTTGCATCTATGTTCTCTGTTACTGAGCGCATAATATTACTTTTGAGTGCCTACATGTATGAGGCATTGTGCTTGGCCCTAGAGGTTCCCTCTGAGCTAAAGAGGCACAATAAGGACAAGCCACAATGTTGTTCCAAACTAAAAATCGCTACAGGAAATGAGCAGAGGGAGCATGGGAGCTTAAGAGTAGGCACTGAGTTGTGGGGAATCTTGTTTACTCATTTTATGGTAACCCTAAATTTGAACTTGCAGCTCGGCGGGGTCTCCAGCAGGAGGCGCAGCAAAGGCGCGGTAGGGTAGGATTGGGGGTTCAGTCACTACCGGAACCTGGGAAGGCGGCCAGCGCCAGCTGCGTGTGAAAACTGCAAGCAACAACGCCATTTAATAGGCAAGAAGGAGGCTGAGCGCCAGAGCCCCAGAGAGACGGTGGAGTTCAGGTGCGGGGCAGAGGAGCAGGGGCTTGTGGCAGGGGGGGACCCCGCCCCCCCGGCCCCTCCCCCCCGCCCCCCTTCCTTACCCTAAGGGAGCCCAAAGGATCACCTATGCAGGCACAGGACAGAGCGAGGAAACACCTGTTTCCAACAAGAAAAGAGGTGGGGGGAAGCCCCCACCAGGCTTCCAATGGCCTCTCATCGAGCTTGCTCTCCTGAGCCTTGTAAAAGTGAGCCCAGAAAGCCATGGAGATCATTTTTCAAAAAGATCGCTTTCTATTTCTCACCCCCCTCTTCTATGCCTAAACCACAGCATCTCTTTATTTAAAAGTCTTCTTTCCCCACGGGGGTTTCCCGCTCCTCCCAAAAGCGCCCCCCCCCTTGATGTCTGCAGGGACCTT